CTGTTTTCAAAAGGTCGAACCTTGTAAAACTAAAGACACATAGGCCTGTGATCGTCTTGTGTCATAAGAGTGAAGTGTTTCCATCTTTAAGACCCATAATGGTTTCCTCGTCTGTAAGGCGTCCTTTTCGTCCTATATTTAGTACAATATGGTATGTCATTCAGTCTCAACGTGCAGTAATTAGTTGAAACCACTACGCAGATGTCTTGCATGCAAATGAAACAAAAAATGGATTTATGTGCATGGTTTTTTTTTTGACTCGGGTCCTTGAAGGCAAGGAACTTCTCTACAAAATCAACTTTGGGAGTTCAAAGTTTTAAACTGCGTACAGGCCTAACACTTTAAGACGAAAGATCTGAACCAGATTGGAATCCTCATAATACCCCGGCTCTATACTGCAATAACTACCCAAGCATGTTCGAACTAATTACATCACTTGTGGTATGGTGAAACGACCTTTTTAGCCATCTGTATGTGCTATTTATAGCGTCAAATAACTTATTGGTTCCGCCACGCTTGGCGTATCACACCGACAAAATGTTTAAAAGTGAATTGTTACTTTTTCTATTATGACCTTAAGAGGTTGGGCTTTTTCAACGAGTCATCGAATAAACATATCGACCCACGATAAGTATCAATTAATTGAGCAAAAATAACGAATTGCTGAGGGAATGCTATATGTGTTACAGCGCATAGCTCAATCTGCCAAAAGACTGCCATCAATCTGCACGATATATTTTGACCAAAAAAACCCCACCATCTTTGTTTATTTTGGGCGTCTACAAACCTCTGAAAAAAAGGAATTAAATTTGGATTGTTGGTGGGCCGCTAAATGCTCACAAGATACGCCCGAGTTATTATCGGGTAGCAAGTAACTCGAAATGTGTTAAGTAATTATATTCCAATGCGGGCCGATTTCTTCTTTTCGTTCTATGTATTATTACACAATACGTAACTTTTGTATTTCTATATATAGCAATAAAAAAACATCTATTTTTCGGGTTGAAACTCGACAGTAGCACAGATAGTCCATCTTTGAAAATCGCAGGGAGTCCAAGTAAAGCGGGGAATAAGTAATAAGGTAAACGGAGGTCGTATGACCAGTTTAGTCCCACATCGTGGTCAGTTGTCGTCAGTGGTCATTTCTCAAGCGGTCATTTTCGTCAGTGGTCATATTTCGAACTGCCCTAGGGACTCATTATCGTAGATTGGGTCGCCTGCAGCCTCCTGACATCAAAAGACTGACCTCCTAAAAGCTTAACGGATTCATTTATTCATGTCTTCACTTGATTTTCCCTCAAAGCAATTGTAACTGGATGCGATCTTGGATGATTAATAACTGTTTTATCGATTGCAAGAAACGGGTGCTCGCCCCTTTCAATGCTTTAGCTGTTTGAGAAAAGTCTAGCAATCTTCCTATGAATATCAGACACTAATTGCAACACAAAAGGTGTCACCGTATAACCACCAGAAAAGTGTTCCGTTTACCTCGATAAAAACCACCCATTTTCTTCAGGGCCCCAGAATATGAAGGTATTTACTTGCCCAAGTTAAATGTGACTTCAGTTGGGACGGTCGCAGCTTAAGTTGGGACTACATAATATCCTGATCTCTTGACGGGAATGAAGTATCACTTCCGACTTCGAGATAACGGAGTTTCGAGTTTTCGGAGTTCGACTTATCGCGATTTCACTGTATATGGACTAGTTGGGGCGTAACAGGGCTGCTGGGCAGAGAGTGAATTATAGCTTAGCACATTTACGTGCTAAGCCAGAAATAGGCAACATTTAATCGACAGACGTTATTCACAATTCGGCCATATTATTGATAGTGAGTTAAAGTCTTCATGTTTTGGAACTTTTGAGGAGAAATGAAAGCAATGAAATAAAAGTTCGTTACAAATGAATACCGGTGTGCTCTAATGAATATTTTAAACATACCCTAATATTTTGAGCCACATGAAAAAAACACAATTTCGAAGGTGAGGCTTGGCGCGCACTCCTGGGAGCACGATCCTCGCGAATGACGTCTAATACAGGGAGAGTAAAAAAACACGAAACCCAAATGTCGGAACTACTGTTTTAGTGAAGTTCTGCATGTAGCACTTTCAAAATCTAGGATATAAAAGCCCAATTCATAAGCTTTCTTTCAGTACAAGCTTTCTTTTAGTTACAGTTCTGTCCACGGATCACACTAAAGGTGTGCGTTCCTTCAGCAAAACGAAAACAATTCACACACTATGTGATTTGTTGTTGTTTTGCTGAAAGAACACTTACCGTTTTGTGATCCGTGGACTGAACTTTAAAACGGTGGCTGTGTTTAAAATTCCGTAACTTGAAAAGTACATGAGTGATTTGAATGATTCTTGTACTAAAAGAAAGCTTATGGATTGAGCTTTCATATCCTAGATTTGGAAAGTGCTACATTTAGAACGTCATTAAAACAATGGTCACGACATTTGGGTTTCGGTTTTTTTTTACTCACCCTGCATACACATCCTGCTGGCTAGTTATTTATTTCTGTGTTATTGGCAGAGTGTGCGTGCTTAGCAACTCAAAGACAAAGAAACCTGCTTAACCCTAAAATGGCCGGGTTATATTGACTATCTTTCAGCCGGGGGGCCGGGGCGGATTCCGCCCCCCCCCCCAAGATTTCGGCCATCGAGTGATGAAAAAATGTGAAACTCGGTACATGCATAGAACAACTCTTCATAAACATACCCAAGAAATTTCATGACTATAGGTCAAAGGGTTTTGGAATTATGGCTAATTAATTATTCATATGTACGAATGGCATTTCTGCTCTGTGTACACGACGTATATGGGAAAATTCAGTTTTCCCGGCGCGTAGCGCGGGAAAAATTTTCGCTACGCGGCAACCCGTTGTCCGATTTTTATGTTTTTGGTACCAAAAGATGCGCAAGGCTCGAGGCTAAAAAGTCATGACAGCTCAGATCGCGAATTGTTTTTTTTTTCAAGGCTATCGCGAAAAAAAGATGAGATGGGGGGGGGGGGGCGGATTCCGCCCCCGGCCCTTTTAGGGTTAACACAAACTTGACTCGGAAGAAAATGAAATACACAACTGAGCCCAGAGCATCAAGTTTCAATCGTAATTTTGAACCACTTTAAAAATGGAAACAAAATATTGGAAAAAAGTCCATGTTTTGAAACACATTGTACATGAAAATAAAAACCCTCAATCAATCACAGGAATAATTCATAAAGTTTGATTTTTTCTTAATAATCATAACATGCAAAATGGTAAATATTAAAAGGGTACATATTGATCCAACTTAAAGGGATCATCTCCAGGGGGAAAAATTCTTTTATATCCAGGATATGCACAGATTCGTTACCAGAATGGTAACTTACTGATGGCTCATTATTTTGTTAAGGTACCGGTGTCACAAACTCCTATGAAATCTGGTCCCTTTTACCATTTTTATTGGTTGAACCCTCACATGTGACCAGTACCACTCTCGTAATTCTCTTCACTTAGGTCTAGGCATGCGCAATCGAGTCCGTATTTCATAGAGTCCTAAATTCACACTTCACCGGTACTATATTGAGAAAACTGTATGAACATGAATGGCAATCGAAATGACTAATCGGTACAGAAATTCCTTAGCAATCCAGCCATACTCTTTATTTGGCCCAAAACAGTGATAAAGTGTACGAATTTATGCAATTTATGACAAATGATACCGGAAACAGTTGCACTTTTGTCTACGTGCAAGTTGTGGTCCACACTCACCTCGCACGCATACAAAAGTGCAACTTTGTTTTCGGTAGCATTTGTCATAAATTGCATAATTTTGTACACATTATCACTATTTTTGGCCAAACAAAGAGTATGGCTGGATTGCTAAGGAATTTCTGTAATGATCAGTCGTAATTTGACCAAGATGTGCCCAGTGGTTTTTGAGTAAGACAAAAAACTATTAAGGGGGGACTTTCTTTTTTGGTTGAGTGTAGATTTAAGACTGCATTAAGAGATCGCGCTCTGCATTACAAATCTGTGGCCTTAAAAGTTTGAAGGAAAAAACCCCACCCAAACCAAAACAAATATATTGATACTAAGTTGACCTAAAATTGGTCTACATTACTGAATTAATCTACCGTGTAAAACCATTTCAAGTTTCCGAGATTATCTGAAAGCTTCCTTGAGACTGTAGAACTTCATAAAAAGAAGATGGAAAGAAAGATGAAGCGTGCTTCGGTCGTTGCAAAAAGACAAAGCTAACTTACATTACTTTCAAGGTTTTAAACAATGATCAAGCTATCACCTGCTATAAGAGGAAATCATTTTCAATCCAATTGATAAATTGGTGATTATTATTGTCAATTGAAAACATTCCAAAACATGCACATTTGTACCCCAAGAAATGCAGGCTATATACGGTAGGGGTTTTGAAATATAACAAAAATCAGGCGCGGATCCAGAGGGGGTGTTTTGGGGGCCAAAAAAACCCAAACAAACCAGCTCTGTCCAAAAAAAAAAATTATCATACAAATTCATAAAAAATAAGTCGAAACACCCCCCCCCGACACCCCCCCCCCCCCCAAATTATACTTGTATAATGTACGCCTGTTCAAAATATGGTACACCATTCTGTAATCTAGTGTTAATAATCGTCGAATTGGAAATATGGTACCCCCCACCCCACCCAGTTTTGATTTTACGGAGGCCAAGTGTCCGGAGAAAAAAACCTGTGTACATTTTCAGAATTGTCAGAACCCCCCCCCCCCGCTAAAATTCCTGGATCCGCCCCTGAAAATGTATAACCAAAATCTGCTAAATTATTGAACTGTCCAAAAATTCAAAACCCAAAAATGTATTGTTATAGTTTACACAGCTGTGGCTTTATCATTTGAAATTGTTAAATGATAGAACAGTTTTCACCAAATATCTATTTTGAAATACTGTTAGACAGCTGATTATTTTTGATCATCTATCAAACGAAACCAAATCAGTCAATAAATTAATAACAAATTCAAAAATTAAAGTTTCAATTGTTTAAAACAACAATCAAACATCTTGAAAGCAGTTTTGACTTTTACAGAAGGCATTTTTTTGTGCATACGTATATATTATAAAGCAGTAAAAAATAAGTGGTAGAGCATACGTTACTATAGAAACCGTCTCCATGGCGATTACATGGCACATAGTTTACGGATACAATTAGATAGAATTGGATAAAACTGTGACTCTAACTATGTACAAGAAAGATTGCACGCAATAAGCCCACCAAAACGAGTCCGTCCTTCAACTCAAACCCTGTCTTTGGCTTCGCAGACATTATCCCCGAGAGTTGTTTTCTTCACAATATACAAGAAATTGACAATAATACAATAATAACTCAGTCTATAATTATACAATATACACAAAATATATACACCATTACTGCATATCTGAAAGATTAAATTCCCCTCAAATTCCAAAATCTCTGAGACCGTAAAACCTGGCACAAAAAAATTCAAGGTTGAATCCACAATGACATCATGACGCTATCACTTCAATTGACTTCAATCTTTTTATATACAATACAGCAAGGCCAGATTTAGCTGTAAGGCTTGCATAGTGTAAGTGCTTCTTTAAGGAGAGAAAAATGGAGTTTCTATGCGAGCAAAAAAAAAGAAAGAACAAAAAGAGACATTTTACAAGAGAGAAAAATACTTGGGATAATGAATTGGTTGACTGAAAATCCACCTTGCCCCAATCTTTCGTTATCAAACATCGGCTATCTACTTTGTCCTATGCTGTCAGAAATAACTGCCTCATCATTTTGTAATTAAGTCAATTTTGTTCCTCTTCTATTTCGATAAAATAGCCGTCATTTCTTCTTGTCCGTTGCTGTTCTCTGAGATAATCCGTCACCGAGATTAATACCAAAGCTGAAAAAAGGATATGAGGAAATACTCATGTCCGGAGTCGCGTCCGGAGCCTGAGGAAATTCAGCGATATTTAATGAAGCCAAAAATGTGGGCATTCCATCAAATGCTACGTTATACACCTGTCTTTATAAAACTACATGTAAACTTATTTCAAAGCAATACATAGGGAGGATTTTATTTTACATGTATATGTACTTCATCAATTAAAACCAAAATACGGTATTCTCAAAAATCCTAAAAATGAGCCATGTAAGCCAATCCTGCATTATTTCTCCTATCTTCCCACTGAAAGGGTTTGAAATAATTCCTTTAATTGTCGAAAGAATAAAATATAGAATCATTTGTAAGGGCTACAATTACAAAGTTGAAGTTCAATTAAAGATCAATAATGTGAATGCACATTCTTCAAATTGAAACCGAATACTTGAAAATGCAGACAGGGTACATGTACGAGTAACCGTGCTCCCTAAAATGGCAAAATAATTAAACCATGACAACTGGAACAAAGGCATTTTAGTACACAGTTTTTCCGGAGGCCTTACTCTTCCTGTACGGAAATCTAAAACCATTTGAGGTTTTAGGGACGTAAATGTAAGAAAACCGAATAACTTCGTTACTGAGAAGAGAAATTTAAAGATTATTACAATCTAGGAGCATCATTTAACTAAAACCTCTTTCAGATGCTGATTCACAAATAAAAACAAAAACTTGAAATTTTTTTCTTTAAAACCAATTGAATACCCTAAGCCAAAGAATTATGAAAACTAACAAACGCTTCAGATTTTAGTGTTAGTGGCATCTGTATAAACAATGTATGGGGGCTGATCACATTTATATAGCAAACTGAGCATTACTATGCTTGAGTAACAAATGATAAATTTTTCCAAAGTTAAAGGAAATTTGTTGTACCAGAAAAAAAGCAATGTGAGCAATGATTGGTGACCTCTGGTGACCTCTATATAACATTTGACCCCTAAGTAACTTAGTAAAAGTACCAAGGCGGTTCTCGAGCCGCACCTCTCACCTGCTTTTGCGATTTTCTCTAAAGAGTGACCTTTGACCTTGGTGTGTGACCTTTGACATCATTATCATGTGAAGGTTCCCATGTTGCATCTATGACCCAAGTTTGAATAAAAGTTGTCCAGGCGAGACACAAATGATTTAGAGGATGAACACACTAGGCCAAGAAAGGAGGTGGAAATTTGGTTGCTCTACATGTATTTATTACTGAAATTTTTTAAAATGAAATTATCAGATGGAGGCAAAAAGGCGAGCAAATGTGATAAAATTGAAAAAAATAAATTGATGATAAATGCACAACTGGAATGTCTGCGAATCTGAAAGCCAATTGCCAACGTCTATTCACTAGGTTGAAAATGTTTATTTACAACATATACAGGTACATGTGTGATACCGAGAACTGGAAACCTCTATGAAGAAAGTTCAGAAAGACTTGAGATAGTAGGAGAGTTTGCACGAATGTTTAAATATCATACTGGAATCTGAGTTTCAGAATCAATTTCACTGCAATTTACATGTATACAGTGGAACGTCGCTATACCGAACACCGCTATACCAAACATCGTCTTTGGCTCCTGATTTTTGTGTGCAAAACATAGCGAACATTGTTGTTGAAAAATGTCAACAGAAGAGCGACAACTGGCTATTATTTCCCCAAGGAATAGAAGGGGAAAGCCACCCATTGCTGCAGGTAGTAAGCTAAAAAGCGGCTATTACATAATTCAATATTCAGCATGTTTTCAAAGTCATTCTCCATAACTACCAGGGCGTTACATGGTGAAGTTCTGAAGGGCGCTATTTATCGAAAAGTGAGTATCGGAGCACCGGCAGCTTAAAATCACTATTCTGAACGGTCGCTGTTACGAACAATTTCTGTGGGTCCTGCGATGTTATTTATAGCGGCGTTCCACTGTATCGCAAAGATGGTTCTGTTCATTTTTTGCTCTCTTGAAATGGCCCAAAATGAAGACATCAATGTGCATACTTTGTACATGTAGGTCTTCCACTGACTAAAATTCATGCATGTTTCACACAGGAATCTAAGAAAAAGGTTTCAACACTGGTATTACTCCAACATCATCTTTGCACAGGATCAAGTTCCAAAAGCCACTAAAATACAAGGCAAAACTCCTTTGATATAAGATGGAGCAATGGCTAAACCACAATCCAGGTTTAGGCAACTTTTAAAAATTCTAATGGTCTAGTTAAAAGTACCCAGATGTAGAGGAGGTTTTTAAAGTCATGAACAATGCCAATTCCCCCTCCCCTTGCTGAAGCCTGATTTATAATATGTGAGTCGTTCTGGCAAAATTAGACGGAACTGGGCACAGGCCTAGTGGAGAAAAATGCAGAAAAAAAACAATGGGATGATTTTTTTTTTTTTTGATGTTCAGATTTATTGATATTTGTAATCTTTGATTTGTCTGATACACATATTTTAAAGAAACAGTATAATAATCATGGAATAAAACTACAAGTGGCATCTTTTTATTTTCACGAATACAAAACTTGAAACTTTATAGGCAATTTTTCTCAGTACTTAACTCTTTTGAGTTTTGACATGCCGATAAATACAAACTTTAGACAGCCATAAGTTGTCAACGGAATGTCCGATTGAAATGCAACAAACAGTATTGTAAGGAGAATTTTGTTCTCTTTCCTAATACCTGCAAACCCTCATTTCAACCTCTGCCCAGTTCTGTCTCATTTTGCTAGAACGCCTCACATATACATACTTGTTTTACCATTCATGTCAATCCCTGTAAGAACATACACGTCAGTATTCAAAGTCCTTGAATTAACACCAATTTACCCGAGAAAACTTGAGGTGAAACAGCGCATCAAGATTCCACAGCTTTTCCAAAATATCGATGAGGACTCTCTTCGAGTCTGTAATTGAGAGCAGGAATGCTCGTGGAGTTCCATCATCATGCCCACGCCAAAACCATGTAGTTTACAGTCAGTACACCTCCCCAAGAAGAAACATATTTACACTGCCTCTAGTCTGACAATTTTTTTTCTCTTCAAATAGTGAAGTCCGTCATGTATCGAAGACATACCGATCCTGCCTGTTGTCGCCATTGGCCATGATGTAGTTTGTGTAAGGCGGAGCCTGGGGATCAGACCACGGGTGGTTTGGGATACTGGCGCTGTAGGAGTAGAACCGAAGGCCCGAATGGAAATCCATGTAGCGATTCCTCCACATCAGGATGACGACAAGAAAAGACGTGATGCCGCCGAGTCCGTTGAGAATGCACTGGATGAACATGTACGTCTTCAAGTTGAGGAGGAAGGACTGGCAGTCGATGATTTCCAAGAAGGTGTAGATGCGGGCCAGTCCGTCGCTCTCTACCTTGGTGCAGTGACAGGTGTGGTGATTGTCTGAGATGCAGGTGGGTTTGTCCAGGTCAATCAGACCCAGGATGTTCTCTCCTTGGATCCCACAGAAGGCGCTGGCGATGGTGTTGACAAATAAACAGACGACGGACAGTAAGAAGAACGAGGCCTGTTGAGAGGAGAAAAGACGACAACCATTGTTATTTATATCTGGTAATGAAACCAAGGATTCCTTTGAAACCCCAATGGGACTTTAGCTCACAAGCCTGAAGAAACCTGTAGAGAGAGAGAGAAGTCAATGAAGAATTTTCAGAGTTTTAGAGGTTGAGGGGAAACCCCTGAGGAAAACCCATGGAATCAGGTATAACACCGGAATAAGGGCCAGTTCATACTTAGTATGAAAGTTAACTCAAATGCGACTTTGTATACATTATGAATTTACAAAACCTTTGGACACATTTCAATTTTGTTGATTTTGCCTGAGAATATTGACCAACATCAGACTTGATTAACTATGAATTAGGCTAAGCTTACTAATTTATTTTCTCGCTTAACCTTCCCTGTCAGGGAGCGGTTTAAAAGAATATAAACTGCCCAGCGAACTTATATGCTAATAACCAACAATCCGCCAAGTACCAGTCACAAGCAATATACACTTTGAATGATTTTTTAACTGGTAACCTGTTTTCGCTAAGCATATATTTTCTGTGCTCAGCAAAGTTCTAAGATAAGCAGCTCCGCGGAATTGGCCCCTGAAGATCCCTTCATTCGTCTTCCCATTCATTATCAAGCTACAAGCCGCGACGAGTAAACACTGGCCAACATTTCAAACAAACGGTAATTCTTTCTGTCCGCCTCTGAATATAAAGCTGTCAGGCTGGCGCGTTTATGTCCACCATGAAGGGTGGGGGGGGGGGGGGGGTAGGGAGAAGGTTGGGATGGGACACGGAGGTTTCCCTTTATCACTGTAACCGGAGCAGACTGACATTGTGACATTTACGTCGACTGTGCATTTTCATGCCACTCTGAACATGTCAGCCCGCCGTAATCGGACCACAGAAGCGCGTCAGGCATGTTACTCAATATGAGGCATATACAACTCCTAGACACATTCAACCTACTTTTTTTGTTAAAATCAGTCCATTTTGGTTCAAAATAAGAGCATCTTCAAAACAAGGGCGGATCTAGAACACAATTTTGGGTGGGGCCAAAAAATTTGTTGGACTCCCCAAAAAGTGGGTCAAAAAATTACGGCGTGGGGTTCGGGGCCCGCTTAAGGGCCCCGAAATTTTTTTGGATTCTAGATGCTCTGTGGTGCGATCTGAGGCAATTTCTGACCACTTTAACCAATGTTTTTTTGAGGAAAAGATGGTGGTGTACTCATTGCCTGCCTTTATTGCGATGTCACATAAAAAAAAAAAAATTGGTCTCGTTTTTTTGGGGGGGGGGGCCATGGCCCCCTTTGGCCCCCCCCCCCCCCTGGATCCGCCCTTGCTTCAAAAGAACAAAATTCTCTGGCAATAATCTGCTTAAAGCAATTCATCGGGCTGGCAACTGCTTTATACTCAAACCGAAGCATACTCATCAGCCTTAGACACCAACAAGAATTTTTTTTTTGGTCTTATGAAATACATTCAAGCATTTCAGATTCAGACTTTTGACTTTGAAGGATACTTAACATTTATAACATTTTTATCTCTAAAATACCTTTAGCTCAGCTAGTTTGTAAATTGGAAAACCAAGATTCATGTAAACTATTTACCTAGATTCCACTTGTATATGTACACAGTGAGTAAAACCATGGAGCTATAAAACATGGTATAGCTCCATGGTAAAACAAACCAGGCCTGAAGCTTTCTAGAATGTGTGCTTGGCCTACATAATACAAGAACAACTCCAACAAGACTTCTCCAAAACTTGGACATCTCTGAGGGCTGTCACAAAGACAACATCCCTAGCAGGCTCCTTTCATCAACTACGGGGTGTGAAGGCTTCCGGACACATTCTTCTATTGTCCAACACCACACAAATTCCTGATGAAATAGTCCACACTTAAACAAGGGACTCCCCAATGCACAGACACTTCAAAGTGCTAGAAAAACAGGGAAAGTGCTTTTTCTTCCTCAAGGAATATGCGTTGGTACACCTGGAGGTGGGAAAAGTAGGCACGGAGTGTTATTATTTTACTCTGAATGTGTGCAGAAGGCTCCAAAAAAAGACTGTAAATGTCGGGGGATGTTACTGCCTGATGGTTTTCCAAAAGATTCAACAACCTAAAGGTACATATACATGTACCGGTACTTTTGCTGTTATTTTCAGAAATGGATGGATTTGGGGGTTAGTAGCAAATATTGTTACACTACCTGTTTAAAGTTTTGTGTTCATAGAGGCTGGAAAAACCAAGAAAAGAAAATGCTGTTTTTGTCTTCTGTTCTCTACTTCAGATTAAACAGGGTGATTTATAGACATCAGGGAATTGTCAGGTCAGGGAACCGGACAAACGGATGTGTAACCAATTGCAAACAAAATGTGGACTAAGGGGCAGTATTTGAAAAAAGGTCAGTTTTTTTTCCCAACAATGGTCAGCCAAACATTACTGGAAATTGAACGAATAAAGTATAAAATATACATCATCCTTGAGAGATTGTTTACGTTTTTCGATATTCTATTTAATAAAATCCTTTTCCGATATTCGGTGTGTGACTGAATATTCGGATATTTGGCACAGCCCTAGCAATTTGATTTTTTCCTCTTGGGGCTAACCTCACAGAGAAACCAAAACAAGTGACGCACAAACACCACAGCATTGAAATTGATTCTGATAAAAAAAAAAAAAGCTGGATATACATGTAAGCAAAACTAGCGGTCACGTGGTCACATCCAGTGGCTGGTTTTTAACGTCCTATGATAGGTGAAGTTGTAGTAAAGTCTGTCACGAGCCAATGTGGCCCATCAGGCCGGTGTTTATATTCAGTTTCAGAAACATGAAACGACTGAGAATATTTTGTAGCATCCCTGGATGGGATGCTTGTCCATCGCAGGTTCCTCCCCAGCTAATGCAGGTACCCATTTATACTCCTGGGTGGAGAGAGGCAAGTGGAGGGTGAAGTGGCTTGCCCAAGGACACAACATACGGCCAGCAGCTGGATTCGAACCCCTGACCCTCTGATCATGAGTCACGAACCCTAACCACTAGGCCACACTCCCGCCAATGATAGGTAATGTCGCTCATAAATCTTTCATCACAACACTTTTTTCCCCTCTGATATATCCAGTTCTCTTTGTCCCCCATGTCAAAAGCTAATATAACAAGGAGCAGAATGTCATCGCATATAAACTACTGATCCAGAGCTTAGCAAGCTGACACGAGGTGTCACTGATATCGCTCAAGCTGGAACCGGACTGTTTGGTTTCACCAGTCAAGCCTGCAAAAAAACGTCCAAGAGTTCATTAGCGAGTGTGCAATAATGCACAAATACATCTCGCTGGGACTGAGCGGGCCAACAGAGCAGAACACTATGCCAATGCAAAAGCAACACAGCCCTCCTCGCTTATCTTGTCCAAGCAAACATGTGTTTGATATTGCAGTATTAATTTGTTGGTTGGGAACTCCGCTCAGCCTCCGGGGAATAAAAACAAAATACCGAGGTGGGGAAACGTTTTATGATTCCAGAGTGGTCTGTGCTGCCATTGCACGCTTCACATAATTCTGTTTGATTTTCAGGCAAATATCAAGACTGAGTTTCCCGTGAATATCAATGAAGTTTTCTTCCCAACCCTAAATTTTACTGCATATTCTTTCATCATTTCATTTAAGGTTCATCCAGGCTTCTGAGCTATTAGGACTGTGTACGTTTGAGAAATCCTAGGTTTTGTTACCAGAAAAATGTTTATAACTGTGTATATTTAGAAGCTTACGATCATTTCTTGTCAGTTTAGTCAAGGCCTTAGCTGACCGTATTTTGAAAAGCTACGTGGATATCAAAACATCATACTATTAAGAAGTATACAGTCAAGGTATGCGCTGAAGCACGGAGGAGTCGAAATTGAACGGCAGGGAGTAAAGTTTAATCAGTCGTACAGGAACAATACAATTTGTTGATCGATTCAAAGGAAGGCGGGGGAAGAATCAATTTCATTGACCATGAACTATGATGGAAACAGATGGCCAGGCAGGCTTTCTATTCAGTCGCGGAAGGTTTTGTATCGAGGGTTGGTGAGGCTGGAGTACATGTATATAATATGACAGCAACAGTGACAATTGTGACGTTTGGATGCATGTTACGCAGCCATAAAGCAATAGCGCATAATCGCAGCGACGTTATCTACAACCCTGCCTTGACAGCTGGCGTTGTGACAATACATGCTACCAGCTGTTACTACCAATTCCGACGACGTGGTATCCACCATTGCTCAACAATTGTTCTATCCGTTATTGATAATCTTTTGCTTCCTTTTTTTGTGTTTTCATTCCCCCCCCCCCATTTTGGTGGGACTCTAGATTCACAGGGTGTTATTAATTACTTGAGTAGTTGATTGTGAACAAAGAGATCACACTGATATACAATGTCCAGGTGTTGTTAAACACACAATACCGAGTCTTCTTGCCCAACTGGAAAGTGATTTGACATATAGGTCATTCTACAGGGTGTCCCCCCCCCCCAAAAAAGTTGTAAAGCATATATCCTTTAATTTCTCAAAAACTACTTAACATGAGAAAATGATGAGTATTTCATCTTGATGGAGCATATTCATTATACTCTTGTATTTAATCAGTAAAAAATGCCATGGAAATCCGTTCATGCAAACCAGAGATCTAACAGATTGTAAAAGGCTTTGTTTTTTTTACCCATTCCAATGGGATTTACACAGTTAGTGATATCAGTGCATCAGATTGTCATGGGCCTTTTCACTCTGACGTAAATTAAGTTAACTGTGTAAATCCCATCCCATTGGAATGGGTGAAAATTAGCGTCAAATTTATGACATTTTCCTGTCCATCTTACCTTTGTAATTTGCCAATCAAGTATCCTTTGCCATTCAAAAATCATTTGAAGAATGACTCCAAATATTTTTTTTTTATTTGTTGAGTAGGTAGTTTGCTATTCATAATCACTCTTGGAGGATGACTGCATTAAGGAGTACCAGTACATCAGAATTATAAAATCA